CTGTAATCCTAGCACTCTGGGAGGTTGAGGCCAGTGGATTGCCTGAGCTCAGGAGTTGAAGACCAGCCTGACTCCAGGCTCTAAAAATAGCTGGACATTGTAGTAGGTACCTGTAGTCTCAGCTACTTGGGAGGCTGAGGCAAGAGGATCACTTGAGCCCCAGAGTTGGAGATGGTTGTTAGCTATGATGCCATTGCATTCTGCCAAGAGCGTCAAAGTGAGACTCTATCTCAAAAAAAAAAAGTGACTACTTTTCTAAAAAGTAAAGTCATACTAGGAAACAACATTTACAAAATAATACATGTAGGGTGCCTGTAGTCCCAGCTACTTGCGAGGCTGAGGCAAGAAAATTGATTAAGCACAAAAGTTTGAGGTCGCTGTGAGCTGTGACGCCAGGGCACTCTACCAAGGGCGACATAGTGAGACTCTATTTAAAAAAACAAAACAAAACAAAACATTTACACTGTTCTCCAGGCTAGAGTGGCATGGCATCAGTCTAGTTTACAGCAACCTCAGACTCTTAGGTTCAGCCAATCCTCCTGCCTCCATCTTCTGAGTAGCCGGGACTATAGGCACCCACCACAGAGCCTTCATCATTGTCATGTATAAAAAATGTTGGAAACAATTTTCTATTCAGTTGATTTGAACTCACTTGCTAAAAATACTAAAATGCAACTTTTAAGTATCTACTAGTTCAACCTCAGTAGAAGCTTTTGCATAACTAAAGTGTATAATTGAAAATTTGGTATCATGGTTTAGTAAGCATAGGACTTCTATTTGTATAACCATCTTTGTGACGTCCACTAAAAACCAAATATAAAAATAAGCCAATCTTATTGCACTGTATTTTTGTATGTGTAAGAAAGGTTTTTTTGTCATTAATAAGTAGAATTTAAAAATTACTCAAAAATATTATTTTTTTATCTTATCCAACACAGATGTTACTTCAATAGTAATATATACAATATAAGGTTTTGGAGATACAATTAGAAAAGTTTCTTAGTAATGGAATGTATATCAAAAAACTTGGAGACCAAATAATTTCTCCTACTTATATCACTGCATTACCTCCTAATAACTACTTTTACTTCCCTTCTCAAAGCTGTTTTCCACTTAATAGCCAAAATGGTCTTCACCACATATATATGTGGTGGTTTAACTCTTGCACATACACAGACCTTTAATAGGATCTATAAGATGCATAAGCTATACAATTATCTACTTTCTTTGGTCTTCAATCTCGAACATTTTCCTCCCTGAGCTTTTTCCTTTACATGGGCTTCCTTAAAGTCCCTTCAAGAGCTATGCTCTTCCTCTTTGGCCTTTATTTGTGCCTTTCTCCTCTGAACTATTAACCTATCCTTTTTTCTCAGTTTACTTTCTACATACCTTCAAATCTTCATGTGAATGATATTTCCTCAAGGAAATCTTTGCCTATTTATCTGGCTAGCTCACACACATACACAATTATAAACTCTTATATAAATCTGCGTGTGGATTTGCTCTTCATTGTATTTGCCACAATTACTATTTTACATTTATTTGTGTGAGTAGTTTCAAAGGTAGTCATTATTGATACTCAAATTGGTATCAATTTGTAAAGGTTCTTGGGCACAGCCTTGTCTTCATGAGGGAGTGTGATACCTAAGAGTTTGGCTTTTGTCTGTGGGAAAAACAAAAGAGCCATTGGAGGCTCTGCGAAAAATATGAGAGTGATAATTACACTAAGACTTGGCTTTAGAAGGGAGGCTGTATTTGAGAGAAGGAAAAGGCTAGAGCCAGATTATTATAGATGAAAAAAGATGAGAACCTGAAGTCTTTATTTACAGTATAGATGGAGAAGAGATGGTGAAGAGATAGTGTTTGGTTTAGTGGGTATTTCAGAGACAGAATCCAATAGTATGTGATGACCAGCTGACTGCTGTCAGAGGTGAGTCAGTGATTATCTGGAAGCTTGAACTATTAATATTTTAGGCTATTTACCAGGTAAATGAATATAAGACAATAAGCATTTCAAGGGGGTGAAGGAATCTTCATTTTAAACACAATTAACAAGAGTGACCTGTTGGCCTCTGCCCTGTTTATAATTTTTTTTTTTTTTTGAGACAGAGCCTCAAGCTGTCCTCCTGGGTAGAGTGCTGTGGTGTCACAGCTCACAGCAACCTCCAACTCCTGGGCTTAAGTGATTCTCTTGTCTTACCCTCCCAAGTAG